CACATTAATGAGATTTGCAAAAATGTAAAGCAATGCTCACTCTTCTAAATTTTTTTTGTTTTGAAAAATACCTATTTTTCATTAAAAAGAAATCATTTGGGGGAAGTGAGGGAAATGGATAGATGTTGGTCAAAGGATACAAAGTTGTAGTTATGTAGGATGAATATGTCTAGAGATCTATTGTAAAGCATGATGATTAATAATACTGTACTGGATACTAGAAATTTGCTAAGAGAGTAGATTTCATGTGCTCTTGCCACACACACAAAAAGGTATTATATGACAGATGGATATGTTTAAAGCTCAGCTGTAGTAATCATTTCACTAGGTATATGTATATCAAAACATCATGCTGTACACCTTAAATATATACAATTTTTTAAAAGTCACCAAACAACATTTGTAATAAGGGAGGGAGGGAAGGAGAGAGGAAGAGAATATTTTAATTACATAAAAATAGTTCTTGAAGAATACATGCTAATTCTTGACTGCAGGGACCGATGTGCATATATGAAAAAAGTGAAATAATTTCATTTTTTACTTTGGTTCTATTATTTTAACTTACAGATATTACTTTTATAATTTGAAACAAAAACTTAAAAACCTAAAATCTTAAAATATATATTTATGTATACAATCTGTGTTAATATACAATAGTTATTTTAAATAGTAATATATAAAATTTTATCAGATATAATTTCTAATATAAATATCAACAGATATAACTCACATAAATAAGAGATCTTTGGGGTCCTCAATAATTTTTAAGAGTGTGAAGAAGTCCTGAGTTTAAAAGTTTGAGAACTGCTGGTCTAATAAAATAAAGGTTGATTTTGGTGTTCCATATGTTAGGTCCATTTCACTTAAGGAATACAGAAATTTCCCAGGAAAGAACCATGTCAACACTGTACAACTTGGAGCAGTATTCACTAAGCTCTTGGTGAATATTTTGCACTCATTTTGCAGTAAGCAGTCCTCCTCTAATAAACAACTACTTAGATTTTCAGTGGAAAGATTTGGCAAAAATATCAACATTCTCATTGATTCTCATTTCATAAAGAATAATCAGCCATATGACCTGTTGTAAGTAATCAAGAAAAACAGCACAATACAACAGACAGCACTTATTGAGCCCACAGCATATATCAGGCATTGTGCTTTCCTACATCTCATAATCCTGCAAACAAAGTATAACAGCAAGAAAGAGACTCAGATGTACTTGCTAAAGATCATACAGTTAATAAATGGTCGAATCAGAAATCAAAACCAGGACCATATGACTCCAAAGTCCAGTGTTTTCTCCACTCCACCAGGTTACCTTCACAACTCTGGACTGGAAATCAGACCTGTCACTTATTCTGTGTCCTTGAGCTAGTCACAACTTCTACCAGCCAGTTTTCTCATCTACAAGGTAAGAGGATCAGTGTAGCTGATCTACAAAGAGTCCCATCCATAGCTGATATTCTTGGATTATGATTCATCATAACCTCAACCCTACCTAATCTTTACACTTTTCTGAACAGAACAATTGAGGAGATACAAGTAATTGGGAAGTAATGAGTAAAATTAACAGACTACAGCTTTTCATGCTTTAAAATCAATAATCATCATAAAGTATACTATAAAAATAAGCAGGCACTGTGTACTTCCTTAATCCCAGGCCACCAGAGCTTTCTTCTTTGACATAAGCTTGGGCATTCAGCAAGCAGACATCTCTGAAGGTGGTAAGAATCTATTAGCATGCAACACAGAAAGACCTAACTGAAGGACTGCTATGGGGAACAAATGCCTCATCATTAGCTTGTATAGGAAGCACCATCTATTCTTTGAGGTAAATTATACAACAATCAATGGAGATATTTGCCAAGCATTTCTGAGAAAAGGAGGACAAGCTGCAGAAAATCATGAAAACTGATACATGGCACTTCAGTGCACACGCGCGCGCGCCTGCACACACACACTTCCAAGAAAAAATGCATTGATTGCAGAACAGTATTCATTATTAAATGAGGTTTTATTGTATTTGCATTACGTTGGAATTTGTCTAGGCTACCAAAATTTAGACTTCTTCCTACAACAGTTACAATTTTAACACAAGTTAGTATGTGCCAGACATAGTGCTGAGCCCTTTAAAGACATCACCCTCTAATCCTACTCTGCAGAGTTGTGAGGTATTATATTCATGTTAAAAGGTGAAAGAAGGTATTACAGCTAGTAAGTGGCAGAGAAAGGATTTGAAACAAATCTGACCAACACCAAAGCCTGTACTCTTTATGACACATTTCTGCTGGTTCTAGAGAATGAAACCTCATCCCTAGGTCAAAACAGAAAAATAACGTGTTAACGTTTGAGCCAAGTTACAAGGGGCATTTTTAAAAGCTTGAAATCTACTTATGGAAGTACCTACTGTTTAGATACCAGCAAAAGCCACAAGGTCACTATGAAAAATCTATTATTTCTTTGGATAACTATCAATACACTTAAACTCAGAACATACGAGATGGCTGCTATTGCTATAGCTTATAGTCTCATTATGCTCATAAAACCTGGTAAGATCTCTTCTGTCCAAAGTAGCCAAGAAGCTGTCTTTTCCTTGGTATCATCTTTTCACTCCAAGCCCAGCACATTGAAGCAAATTACTCTAGTTCCTATTACTCAGAGGAGAAAGTGGTGTCATCCAAAGCACAGGGGAAAAAATGACGGGTTTAGGAGGGTAACTTCTAGATACTTTCAAATAAATAACTGAAAACTGGCCTAATAAAAGTTCTTTCAAACTTTAAAAAAGCTAAAATTAGTTTTTTGTTTTTAATAGGGGCAAGTGTAATTACAAAAATTCTTCAAAACAGCACAATTTGAGTTATTTTTCATTGGAAGTGAACCACCACTTTTTTAAAGTATCTCAAAATGAGAATTCAACCAAGTTCCAGTAATGTTAAGACTAGTCATTAACTACTCAAGCAAATCAATGTATGATTTTAAAATCAAATGAGTACTAGCTGGTTTGGCTCAGTGGATAGAGCATTGGCCTGCAGACTGAAGGGTCCCGAGTTCAATTCTGGTCAAGGGCAGATGCCTGGGTTGCAGGCTCGATCCCCAGTGCGGAGGCAGCCGATCAATGATTCTTTTTCATCGTTGATGTTTCTATCTCTCCCTCTCCCTTCCTCTATGAAATCAATAAAAACGTATTTAAAAAATAAAATGAAATAATTCACTAAAAATAAATGGAAAGGAAATATAGAGAATTTTTAAGAACAAATCTCAGAAGCTACATTGCAGTTTCTTCTTTGTTTGTAATTATGTCCATGAGAGAGTTCCAAAGGTTCCAAGGGTTTTCCTATTTTTCTTTTCCCCTATGGAATACAGATCATAACTGGTCAGGAGAGAGTGGCTACTACTGCAGTTACTACAAGAACCAGCAAACTCAACTCCCCGTCCCTTATCCAGCGGTTCTCAACCTGTGGGGTCGCGAACAATGAAAATACATTCTGCATATCAGGTATTTACATTACTATTCATAACAGTAGCAAAATTACAGTTACAAAGTAGCAACAAAGATAATTTTATGGTTGGGGGTACCACAACATGAAGAACTGTATTAAAGGGTCGCGGCATTAGGAAGGTTGAAAACCACTGCTATGCTAAAGTCCTCAGATTTAGCAAATAGAACACCCAACTTTTGAAATCAAACAGACATGGATTCAAACCCCAGGTGCACAATTTACCAGATAAGTGATTCTGGACTTACTGAACAAGCCTTAGTTTTCTCATCTGATCTATAGCAACCATTCAGAAAAGCTAGTGTGAAGATTAGAGATAATTTGCATAATGCAAATCTGTTATTAGTTCTGTTAATCATTATGTGCCTGACACTTTCTTTTGTAATGTTGCCATTGTTTATAAGGTAAAATACCTACTACTAAATAATAAAGAGGATTCTATTTCTCATTGGCAAATCGGAGGTAGGTGGCAAAGCACTAGGGGTGACCTATAATACAAACTGCTATTGTTGACCTTGTCAGAGTAAAGATTTTTATTTTAATTGCTTAATAACTTTTTCAAATTGCTTAATGGGCCAGGGGCTTTATTTTGGAGTGAAGGTAATGTTTTGGAAATAGGTAGGGTCATGGTTGGTCAGTATTGTGATTGCATCAAAAATGCCCCTAAGTTGTTCAGTTTAAAATGGTTAATCTAAAAAAAAAGTGTATTTTACGGAAGAACAAGGGAAAAAATACCCTAATTGTTCCTACTAAACATCATTAAGTGCCAGCAATGTGACCAGTTAAACTAAGTGCATTCAAGGTTTTCTGGTCCACATTTCTAAAAAAGGAGCCTGACATGGTGGAAGGAGCCCAAACGCGGAGGTCAAGAAATCCATTCCTCGTCCCAACTCTGCAACCAGTTAGGTATGTGATTTGGGGCAAATCTCTTAACTGCTTTGGATACCAGTATATCTTAAATTCTACATCTGTCAAAGACCAAAGCAGGGCTAAAAGAGTCTCACCACAAGTTTAAGATGTTATACTTTATATCCTTGGCAAACCAATTTATGTAGAAATAATATTGCATAGATTTTTTTAAAAATTAACTACAATATATGCTAAATTTAACACACTAAAAGCCACCACACCTCCAGTGAGCTGAAAATATAAGTTATCCTAAACTGGAAATTTTCTCTTTTCAGGATAATTGGCTTCTTTCTACTAACTCCTATTTACTGGAAAACAAAAACAGACCCTATAATGTCAGAGCCAAAATTATTCACCAACATTATGAGCCAAGGAAACTATAAGTTTTTAACTAATAAACTCAATGTCTTTTTATTCAACTATTAAAAATGCATTAAGTATAAAATAAATATGCATTATAGAATAGCCTATAATAAAAATTGTATACATTAATCAACATTATTTTGCAAATAATTATTTTGTCTTTTAAGTAATCTTCAAGTTAAAAACTTCTCCTGCTACAAGGCTCTAAAAAGGATATAAATCTAAACAAACCTTAATCTGTTCTTGAATTTGTCTGGAATACAGCTAAATCTTCTGGTATCTTCTGGCATTTTGTTAAGTGCAGGTTGTTAAAGAAATGTTTTAGCAACGAACACCTTAACTACCATTAATTAGGGATAGAAGGTTTGTCTTCCTCCACGTGCCCCTAAATCCTAAGGGGAGAAAGAGGTGTATAGCATGATTAAAGTGATCTCAACAGTGATCAAGGTGACTAGATGGGAACTCTCATCTGTTGGTTTCAAAGGAATACTAGACAGACAATGCTTAGATATCCATAGCCAATGGAAAGCTCAAAGGATAACATTTCAGTTGTATCGAGCTGCTTTACAACCTAGAGCAACTTATGTAACAAACTTAGTGAAACAAGTAGGGCCAATTAACAAATCAAAAAAGTTTGGATGCCTTAGCAGAAGTTTCCCAAATCAACTGTCTAGATTCAGACCTCAGTAATAGATTCAGCAATTAAGTCTCCCCTCTCTTTCTGGCAGTTAGTTGTATCAAAATGAAGGCATAAAGCCACAGGTGAACAACCTTTCTAAAAAGATTCCTGATTTTCTTTTTATCAGGACAATCATCACCTGGATGTCACCACCACACTTGCAAACTCAAAACTAAACTTGCCTCCCAATGCCACTTCTCTTGGGTTCCCTAGGTGACTAGGCTTGAAAGCTTGTAGATTTGTTGCTCAGCCCTCACATGTTACCAAGTTTCATTAGCATCCTTTTTATACCCATTTCCAACTACCTTTATCACTTTCTTCTCAAACTATTCAATAGCATCTTAATCATGGTATTCATTTCAGCCTCTCTTTTCACATAAAGTTGTCAAATTCATAAAGACAGCCCTAATAATGCCCCTCCACTCGGGCTTTCATTTTTAATCTTTACCTGGGGTTATATTTTTATAGATTATTTTTTAAGAAAAAGGAAGGGGTAGAGGGGGGAAGAGGGGAGTGGGAGAGGGAGAGAGAGAATGAACATTGGTAAGTTGCTTCCTGTATGCACCCCAACTGGAGCTCGCACCCCCAATCTTTTGGTGTACAGGACCACACTTCAACCAACTGAGCAACCCAGCCAGGACCTTCCACTCTTGCCCAAAAACCTTTCACTGAAGCCTCACTGTTGACAGACCAAAGTCTGATTTCCTCATTCAAAGCCTCTGTCAGTAGTTCCAACATTCCTTGCCAACAGCATCTTACACTCTACCAAGCCCTTTCATATTCCTTACCTTTAAGTGAACCACTTGTTCTTCCCAAAGCAATCTTGAGCCCTAACCAGTTTGGCTCAGTGGATAGAGCGTTGGCCTGTGGACTGAAGGGTCCTGGGTTTGATACTAGTCAAGGGTACATGCCTCAGTTGCAGGCTCAATCCCAGGCCCTGTTTGGGGTGCATGCGGGGCACCAATCAATGTTTCTCTCTATATATATATATCTCCCTTTCCGTTCCATTCTCGCTAAAAATCTATGGAAAAATATCCTTGGGTGAAAATTAACAAAAAATAAAAATTTAAAAAATGTTTTTTAAAAAAGCAGTCTTGAGCATTCTTACTTGCTAATGCAATTCCCTTCCCCATTTTCTCATCATCTAATCCTACTTGTTCTCCCTGGCTCAGCACAGATATCACGAACTACATCCTCTTTAAAGTTTCTTCTTTAGTCTCCTTAGCTGGAAATATTTTCCTGCCTGGACCATTTTATCATTCATATATACACCTCCCCTGACAGATTGAAAGCTCTTAAAGATGAGGGTCTATGTATATTTTATCTGTATCCCTCAATGCAACACAGATTATGCATAGTAAATAAGGACTCAAAATCATGATGAAAAATTAACAAGATCTTAAGAAAGGATACTCATGAAGAAGAATAACAGGAATAAATATTATCATAGACTTCAAGGTACATAGTATTCCCTAGCAAAACCCTAGCTAAAGGGTTCTTTACAAAGTAATAGACTACAACTAATGAAAGAACAATTTATTCAACAAATACTTAGTGCCAGGCACTATTCTAGGTGCCTAGGATCTACAGAATTACAAAGCCATCATTAATCCTTTCCTTAATGGAGCTTATACCCTAGTGCAAGTGAAAAAGGCAATAAACAGCATTAAATAGCAAAATATATTATAAGCTAAACTAGAGGCCTGGTGCACGGATTCGTGCACCGGTGGGGTCCCTCAGCCTGGCCCTCTCACAATCCAGGACCCCTCAGGGGATGTTGGACTGCCAGTTTCAGCTCGATCCCCTCAGGCCAGGCCGAGGGACCCCACCGGTGCACAAATCTGTGCACCGGGCCTCTAGTACGCATATAAGATCTTTGGTTAATCTCTTCCCGCCCTCCCCCCTTCCCTCTGAGATTCATCAGTCTGTTCCAAGTTCCCATACCTGTGCGTTGAGTGTCTGCCCCTTGGTGGCCAGTGCATGTCATAGCTACCGGTCAAATGGTCGCTTAGGCTTTTATGTATATAGATATACAGTATATAGATGGTTTAAGTGGTATGGAGAAAAAGAGGATAGAAAGGGAGCCTAAGTCAGCAACCGAGGAGCTGCCATTTTAATAGGGTGGTAAGGGAAGGCCTCACTGGAAAGGGGAGATATGTGCAAAGATCTGAAAAAGATGGTGCCACATAGATCTCAGAAACAGGATCCTTAGGCAGGGCAAACCACAAATGCAAAAGACCTGAGACAGGAATATGCCTGACATGTTAAAGAAACAGCAAGAAGGCCATTGTGGCCAGAACAGAGTAAACAAAAAGAAGAAATCAGGTCAGAGAGGAAAAAAGAAGGGATCCAAGCACATAAAGGCTTTGGCAGGACTTGGCCTTTTACTCTAAGCAAGATAAGGTATCACCAGAGAGTTCTGACTACGAGACAAAATCCAACTTACCGTTTTTAAAGGGTAATTCCTGCTACAGTATTGAGAACAGACTATAAAGGGGCAAGAGCGAAAAAAGGCTACTGCAATAGTAATTCACAAGAGCTGACAGAGACTTAAAACTGTAAAGGTGATGAAAAGTGGTCAGAGTCTGGATATATTTTGAAGATAAAACTGGCAAGGTTTCCTGATGGGTCAGATGTTGTGTAAGAGAGTCAAGGATGATTCGAACTTTTGGAGGAGCAACTGCAAAGATGAAGGAAGATGCAGTTTATTAAGATGTGGAAGACTGCAAGAGGGGCAGAGAGAAGATGGGGCAGGGTAAAGATCAGGAGTTTGTTCTGGGAGAAGTTCAGTTTGAGAGGCCAATAAAATACATAATCTGAAGCGTCAAAGTAGGCAGTGGGATACACAAACCTGGAATTTCAGAGATAAAAATTTGGGAGTCATCATCAAATATATGGTATTGAAAGCTATGAAATTAGATGGAATCACCAAGGGAATGAGAATGAAAAGCAGAATGGGACGGTCCAGTATTACGAAGCAGGAATAATGAGGAAGAACCAACAAAGGAGACTGAGAAGCTAAAGTAGGAAGAAAAACAGCAGAGTGTGGTGTCTAGAAACCAGAGTAGAAAGTATTTCAAGGAAGGGGGCATCCACTGCAATAAATGCTGTTAACAGGTCAAGTAAGAATTATTAATCTTTGTGGTTTTGACAAGAGCAGTCTCAGTAAAGTGATAGGGTTTAAAGTCTCATCAGAGTAGGTTCAGAAAAGAACAGAACTGTAGATGAATAGAAACAACTTTTTTTAAAAAATATATTTTATTGATTTTTTACAGACAGGAAGGGAGAGAGATAGAGAGCTAGAAACATCGATGAGAGAGAAACATTGATCAGCTGCCTCCTGCACACCCCCTACTGCGGATGTGCCCGCAACCAAGGTACATGCCCTTGACCGGAATCGAACCTGGGACCTTTCAGTCCGCAGGCCGACGCTCTATCCACTGAGCCAAACCGGTTACGGCTAGAAACAACTTTTTTAAGAAGTTGAAAAATTGGGTTGTAGTTGGAAGACACAGTGTGGTCAAGAAAAAGTAAAAAAAAAAAAAAAAAAAAAGATGTAGCCCTGGCAGGTGTGGCTCAATTAGTTGAGCATCATCTCGTGCACCAAAAGGGTGCTGGTTCAATTCCAGTCAGAGCATATACTCAGGTTGCGGACTCAATCCCTGGTGAGGGGCATGCAGGAGGCAACAGATTGATGTTCTGCTTTCACATCAAACATTCACTCTCACCCTGACTGGTTTGGCTCAGTGGATAGAGCGTCAGCCTGCGGACTGAAAGGTCCCAGGTTCAATTCCAGTCAAGGGCATGTACCTTGGTTGCGGGCACATCCCCAGTAGGGGGTGTGCAGGAGGCAGCTGATCGATGTTTCTCTCTCATCGATGTTTCTGACTATCTCTCTCCCTTCCTCTCTGTAAGAAATCAATAAAATATATTTAAAAAAAAAAGATTCGGACTTTAAAAACACACACAAACAAAAAAGTTCACTCTCTCCTTCTACGTATCTTCTTCTCTCTGAAAACCAATAAAAATATACATATTTTTAAAAAGAGATGTATGCTGACTGAAGTGAGCAGGTAGACATGAGAATAATGATGTTGCAGGAGAGAGGGGGAGAATGGATAGGATTTTAACTGTTACAGAATTTCAAAGAATCAAATAGCCCAATGAAGAGAAATTTCACTAGGTTAATGGGCAATAATTCCAGAGTACTATTACTCTTTGTGATACTAAAGAACATAGGATGGCAACCCCTAATTCTAATTTGCATGCAATAGAATTTACTGAGAATCTTCATGTTAGGCATTTTATGTTATTTCATTACGCTCAAAATAACTTCAAGAGGTATTTATTATCTTTATGTTACAGATAAGGAACCAGAAGCTCTGAGAGAGCTAGTAATTTGATTACCACACAAAGCTGGTGAGTGGTAGAGCTGTTTCAAATACAGCTCCTTCTGAGGATTAGATAAGAAATTGTTCATTTAGGGGGGTTAAAATAGTTTTGTGGTTATTTTTTAAGGTTGAAGTATTTATGGATGAAAGTATATGATGTCCAAGATTTACTTCAAATACTCTAGCAAAAGCAACAAAAAGTGTGAGAAAGAGCAGCAAAATGCTGGTAAGTGTTGCAGCTAGATGATGGGTATGTGGAAGTTCACTGTACTATATTTCTCTTTTAAG